GAATTTTCAAAAGAGAGAAAGAAAGAATTTTCGAAAAGAAGGATAGACAGATAGAAAAGAGAAATTTCAAAAAGAGAGAAAGAAAGAATTTTCGAAAAGAATGATAGACAGATAGAAAGAGAGAATTTTCAAAAGAGAGAAAGAAAGAATTTCGAAAAGAATGATAGACAGATATAAAAAGAGAGAATTTTCAAAAAGAGAGAAAGAAAGAATTTTCGAAAAGAATGATAGACAGATAGAAAAGAGAGAATTTTCAAAAGAGAGAAAGAAAGAATTTTCAAAGAAGGATAGACAGATAGAAAAGAGAGAGAATTTTCAAAAAGAGAGAAAGAAAGAATTTTCGAAAAGAATGATAGACAGATAGAAAAGAGAGAATTTTCAAAAAGAGAGAAAGAAAGAATTTTCGAAAAGAATGATAGACAGATAGAAAAGAGAGAATTTTCAAAAAGAGAGAAAGAAAGAATTTTCGAAAAGAAGGATAGACAGATAGAAAAGAGAGAGAATTTTCAAAAAGAGAGAAAGAAAGAATTTTCGAAAAGAATGATAGACAGATAGAAAAGAGAGAATTTTCAAAAAGAGAGAAAGAAAGAATTTTCGAAAAGAATGATAGACATAGATAGAAAAGAGAGAATTTTCAAAAGAGAGAAAGAAAGAATTTTGAAAAGAAGGATAGACAGATAGAAAAGAGAGAGAATTTTCAAAAGAGAGAAAAGAAAGAATTTTCGAAAAGAATGATAGACAGATAGAAAAGAGAGAATTTTCAAAAAAGAGAAAGAAAGAATTTTCGAAAAGAATGATAGACAGATAGAAAAGAGAGAATTTTCAAAAAGAGAAAGAAAGAATTTTTCGAAAAGAAGGATAGACAGATAGAAAAGAGAGAGAATTTTCAAAAGAGAGAAAGAAAAGAATTTTTCGAAAGAATGATAGACAGATAGAAAAGAGAGAATTTTCAAAAGAGAGAAAGAAAAAATTTTCGAAAAGAATGATAGACAGATAAAAAGAGAGAATTTTCAAAAAGAGAGAAAGAAAGAATTTTCGAAAAGAATGATAGACAGATAGAAAAGAGAGAATTTTCAAAAAGAGAGAAAGAAAGAATTTTCGAAAAGAATGATAGACAGATAGAAAAGAGAGAATTTTCAAAAAGAGAGAAAGAAAGAATTTTCGAAAAGAATGATAGACAGATAGAAAAGAGAGAATTTTCAAAAAGAGAGAAAGAAAGAATTTTCGAAAAGAATGATAGACAGATAGAAAAGAGAGAGAATTTTCAAAAAGAGAGAAAGAAAGAATTTTCGAAAAGAATGATAGACAGATAGAAAAGAGAGAATTTTCAAAAAGAGAGAAAGAAAGAATTTCGAAAGAAGGAGACAGATAGAAAGAGAGAATTTTCGAAAAGAGAGAAAGAAAGAATTGAAAAGAAATGATAGACAGATAGAAAAGAGAGAATTTTCAAAAAAAGAGAAAGAAAGAATTTTTTCGAAAAGAATGATAGACAGATAGAAAGAGAGAATTTTCAAAAGAGAGAAAGAAAAGAATTTTCGAAAGAAGGATGACCAGATAGAAAAGAGAGAGAATTTTCAAAAAGAGAGAAAGAAAGAATTTTCGAAAAGAATGACAGACAGATAGAAAAGAGAGAATTTCAAAGAGAGAAAGAAAGAATTTCAAAAGAATGATAGACAGATAGAAAAGAGAGAATTTCAAAAGAGAGAAAGAAAGAATTTTCAAAAAGAAGGATAGACAGATAGAAAAGAGAGAAATTTTCAAAAGAGAGAAAAAAGAATTTTCTTGAAAAGAAGGATAGACAGATAGAAAAGAGAGAGAATTTTCAAAAGAGAGAAAGAAAGAATTTTCGAAAAGAATGATAGAAAAGATAGAAAAAAAGAGAGAATTTTTTCAAAAAAATGAGACTGATAGAAAGGAGAGAATTTTCGAGAAAGAATTTAGACAGAAAAAGAAGGATAGATGATAGAAAAGAGAGAGAATTTTCAAAAAGAGAGAAAGAAAGAATTTTCGAAAAGAATGATAGACAGATAGAAAAGAGAGAGAATTTTCAAAAGAGAGAAAGAAAAGAATTTTCGAAAAAGAATGATAGACAGATAGAAAAGAGAGATTTTCAAAAAGAGAGAAAGAAAGAATTTTCGAAAAGAATGATAGACAGATAGAAAAGGAGAGAATTTTCAAAAAGAGAGAAAGAAAGAATTTTCGAAAAGAAGGATAGACAGATAGAAAAGAGAGAGAATTTTCAAAAAGAGAAAGAAAGAATTTTCGAAAAGAATGATAGACAGATAGAAAAGAGAGAATTTTCAAAAAGAGAGAAAGAAAGAATTTTCGAAAAGAATGATAGACAGATAGAAAAGAGAGAATTTTCAAAAGAGAGAAAGAAAGAATTTTCGAAAAGAATGATAGACAGATAGAAAGAGAGAGAATTTTTCAAAAAGAGAGAAAGAAAGAATTTTCGAAAAGAATGATAGACAGATAGAAAAAGAGAGAATTTTCAAAAGAGAGAAAGAAAGAATTTTCGAAAAGAATGATAGAGAATGATTTTCAAAAGAGAGAAAAAAGAATAAAGAATGAACAGATAGGGAGAGAATTTTCAAAAAGAGAGAAAGAAAGAATTTTTGAAAAGAATGATAGACAGATAGAAAAGAGAGAGATTTTTCAAAAGAGAAAGAAAAGAATTTTCGAAAAGAATGATAGACAGATAGAAAAGAGAGAATTTTCAAAAGAGAGAAAGAAAGAATTTTCAAAAAGAATGATAGACAGATAGAAAAGAGAGAGAATTTTCAAAAGAGAGAAAGAAAGAATTTTCGAAAAGAATGATAGACAGATAGAAAAGAGAGAATTTTCAAAAAAAGAGAAAAAGAAAGAATTTCCAAAGAATGATAGACAGATAGAAAAGAGAGAATTTTCAAAAAAGAGAGAAAGAAAATGTTGAATGATAGACAGATAGAAAAGAGAGAATTTTCAAAAGAGACAAAGAAGAATTTTCAAGAAAGACAGATAGAAAAGAGAGAATTTTCAAAAGAGAGATAGAAAAAGAAATGAGACAGAGAGAAAAGAGAATTTTCAAAAAAGAGAGAAAGAAAAATTTTCGAAAATGAATAGACAGATAGAAAAGAGAGAATTTTCAAAAAAGAGAGAAAGAAAGAATTGTTCTAAAGAATGATAGACAGATAGAAAAGGAGAGAATAGCAGAAAAGAAAGAATTTTTGAAAAGAATGATAGACAGATAGAAAAGGAGAGAATTTTCAAAAAGAGGAGAAAGAAAGAATTTTCAAAAGAATGATAGACAGATAGAAAAGAGAGAATTTTCGCCAAAGAAAGATTTTCCACAATGATAGAAATAGGAAGAGAGAATTTTCAAAAAGAGAGAAAGAAAAATTTTCGAAAAGAAATGATAGACCAGATAGAAAAGAGAGAATTTTCAAAAGAGAAAGTGTTAAAGAATTTTCAAAAGAATGATAGACAGATAGAAAAGAGAGAATTTTCAAAAAGAGAGAAAGAAAGAATTTTCGAAAAGAATGATAGACAGATAGAAAAGAGAGAATTTTCTTCAAAAAAGAAGAAAAAAACGTTTTGAAAAGAATGACCCAATAGAAAAGATAGAATAAAAAGAAAGAAAAGGACACATAGAGAGAGAATTTTCAAAAAGAGAAAAAAAAATTTTCGAAAAGAATGATAGACAGATAGAAAAGAGAGAATTTTCAAAGAGAAAAGTTTTCAAAATTCCATTGAATGAACAGACAGAATTTTCAGAAATGTTGAGAAGGATGAACCAGATATCAGAAGGATTGAGAATTTTTCAAAAGAGAGAAAGAAAAGAAAAATTCGAAAAGAAGGATAGACAGATAGAAAAAGAAAGAGAATTTTTCAAAAGAGAGAAAGAAAGAATTTTCGAAAAGAATGATAGACAGATAGAAAAGGAGAGAATTTTCAAAAAGAGAGAAAGAAAGAATTTTCGAAAAAGAAGGATAGACAGATAGAAAGAAAGAGAATTTTCAAAAGAGAAAAGAAAGAATTTTCGAAAGAAGGATAGACAGATAGAAAAGGAAGAGAATTTTCAAAAGAAAGAAAGAAAGAATTTTCAAGGAGGACAGATAGAAAAAGAGAGAATTTTTCAAAAGAGAGAAAAGAAAGAATTTTCGAAAAGAAGGATAGACAGATAGAAAAAGGAGAGAATTTTCAAAAAGAGAGAAAGAAAGAATTTTCGAAAAGAAGGATGACAGATAGAAAAGGAGAGAATTTTCAAAAAAGAGAGAAAGAAAGAATTTTCGAAAAAGAAGGATAGACAGATAGAAAAGAGAGAATTTTCAAAAGAGAGAAAGAAAGAATTTTCGAAAAAGAAGGATAGACAGATAGAAAAGGGAGAGAATTTTCAAAAAGAAAGAAAGAAAGAATTTTCGAAAAGAAGGATAGACAGATAGAAAAGGGAGAGATTTTTCAAAAAGAGAGAAAGAAAGAATTTTCGAAAAGAAGGATAGACAGATAGAAAAGGGAGAGAATTTTCAAAAAGAAAGAAAGAAAGAATTTTCGAAAAGAAGGATAGACAGATAGAAAGAGAGAGAATTTTCAAAAAGAGAGAAAGAATTTTTTTAAAAGAAGGATAGACAGATAGGAAAAGAAGAGAATTTCAAAAAGAGAGAAAGAAAGAATTTTCGAAAAGAAGGATAGACACATAGAAAAGGGAGAGAATTTTCAAAAGAGAGAAAGAAAGAATTTTTCGAAAAGAAGGATAGACAGATAGAAAAGAGAGAGAATTTTCAAAAAGAGAAAGAAGGATAGACATATAGAAATAGGAGAGAGAATTTTCAAAAAAGAGAGAAAAAAGAATTTTCGAAAGAAGGATAGAACAGATAGAAAAGGAAGAATTTTCAAAAGAGAAAAGAAAAGAATTTTCGAAAAGAAGGATGAACAGATAGAAAAATTTTCAAGAGAGAAAGAAAAGAATTTTCAAAGAAGAGAATCAAAAGAGAGAAAATAATGAATAAAAAAGGAGAGAATTTTCAAAAGAGAGAAAGAAAGAATTTTCGAAAAGAAGATAGACATATGAAAAGGAAGAATTTCAAAAGAGAAAAAAAGAATTTGGAAAAGAAGGATGATAGATAGAAAAGGGAGAGATTTTCAAAAGAACGAATTTTCAAAAAGGAAACATATGAAAAAAAAGAAACCCCAAACAAAAAGGATGAATAGAAAAGAAAGGAGAAACAATTTTCAAAAAAGAAAAAGGAAACCTTCAAAACAAAGCAATGAAAAAGAATTTCTGAAAGGAGTCATATAGGAAAGAGAGATAAATTTCAAAAGGAAAGAAAGAATGCATCAAACATATCTAGGAAGCGAATTTTTGAAAAGTAGGTGCGACAGATAGAAAACAGAAAGAATTTTCAAAATGAAAGAATGACTGCCTCAAACAAACAACGCGAAGAGGAGAGTTTTCAAAAAGAAAAGATAGGAGATAGATTTTTCCAAAACAAAGAAACAACCAAACCTCGTTATTTTTTATTGGTTTTATCAATTTTTTTTTTCTTTAAGAGACAAAATTATAATTGTTGTTTGTGTTGTGTCGTCTGGTCTGAAAGAAAGAAACAAACAAACAAACAAAGATTCAAGCAAATCCCCGACGTGTCGTTTAAGAAAGAAGATAGAGTTTTCCAAAAGAAAGACTTAAACAAATCGTAGAAGAGAATTTTCAAAAAGAATGAAAGAGAAGCCGACACAAGAGAATGGTAGAATTTTCAAACCAATTCTCTCGAATTAACTATAAAGTTTAAATTTTCATATTTCGATTTAGGCATTAAATAATCCATTCGGGTTAATATGCCGCGAAAAAACAACAACGAAACCAAAGAAATAGGTTTATAACAAATCATAACACCAGTGGATAATCTACAATACATCTATAAAACACACGCTTAATCTAAAAGAATAAAATTAAATTTTGTTGAAGCTATGAAATTACGTTGAGAATATTTAAATTTTGTAATTTATTAACACAAAGAATTTGATATAGTGCAAAACGAAAACAACCAAACCCTGTTTTTTTTCTTTTGTTTTTTATGGTTTTTTATCAAGCATTTTTATTTCAGACAAGATTATTATTGTTGTTAGCATTCTGTCTAGAAGGGTCTGAAAGAAAGAAAGAAAGAAAAAAAGAAAGAAAGAAAGAAAGAAAGAAAGAAAGAAAGGACACAAACAAAGCGAACAACTTTTAAAAAGAAGGATAGACAGATAGAAAAGAGAGAGAATTTTCAAAAAGAAAGAAAGAAAGAAAGAAAGAAAGAAAGCGGAGAACTTTTAAAAAGAAGGATAGACAGAAAGAAAGAAAGAAAGAAAGAAAGAAAGAAAGAAAGAAAGAAAGAAAGAAAGAAAGAAAGGACACAAACAAAGCGGACAACTTTTAAAAAGAAGGATAGACAGATAGAAAAAAGAGAGAATTTTCAAAAAGAAAGAAAGAAAGAAAGAAAGAAAGAAAGAAAAAGAAAGAAAGAAAGAGAGAGAGAGAGAAAGGACACAAACAAAACGGAGAACTTTTAAAAAGAAGGATAGACAGATAGAAAAGAGGGAGAATTTTAGAAAGAAAGAAAGAAAGAAAGAAAGAAAGAAAGAAAGAAAGAAAGAAAGAATCAAACAGAGCGAGGTAGAGAATTTGCAAAAAGAAGGATAGAGTGATAGAAAAGTGAGATAATTTTCAGAAAGAAAGAAAGACACAAAATCGAAGAGAGAACTTTCAACAAGAAGCATTGGCAGCTAGAAAAAGAGAGAATTTTAAAAAAGAAGGAAAGAGAGATGGAAAAGAGATAATTTTGAAAAGAAAGGTAAAAAGAAAGAGACAGAGTGTCTCAAACAAAGCGAAGAAGAGAATTTTCAAAAAGGATAGACAGATACAAAAGTGTGAGGATTTTCAAAAAGAAAGAATTTTCTAAAAGAAGGATATGCAGATAGAAAAGTGAGTGAATTTTTAAAAAGAAAGAAAGAAAGAAGGAAAAGAAAGAAAGAAGGAAAAGAAAGAAAGAAAAGAAAAGAAAAAAAAGAAAGTCTTAAACAAACGGGGCAAAGAGGAAAGCTTTCAAAAAGAAGATAGACAAGCAGAAAGCGGATAGATTTTTCCTAAAGAAAGAAAGCATTGAAGAGAATTTTCAAAAACAACGAAAGAGTCGCGGACAGAAGAGAGAGGAGGAGGTTTTCAAAAAAAAAAGAAGTAAAGACTCAGCCAAGCCAAACGAGGGAGTGGGGGGGGATTTCATAAAGAAGGAAAGAGAAATAGATGGAAAACAGAGAATAACAGAATAAGAGAATAAAAGAATCAAAGCGAAGAAAAGAATTTTCAGAAGAATGGAAAGAGAACCAGACAGAAATGAACGAGTTTTCATAAAGAAAAAAAAATCGAAGAAAAGAATTTTCAAAAACAAAGAAAGAAAGAAAGAAAGAAAGAAAGAAAGAAAGAAAGAAAGAAAGAAAGAAAGCGGAGAACTTTTAAAAAGAAGGATAGACAGATAGAAAAAAGAGAGAGAATTTTAGAAAGAAAGAAAGAAAGAAAGAAAGAAAGAAAGAAAGAAAGAAAGAAAGAAAGAAAAAGAAAGAAAGAAAGAAAGAAAGAAAAAAGGAGAACTTTTAAAAGAAGGATAGACAGATAGAAAAGAGAGAGAATTTTAGAAAGAAAGAAAGAAAGAAAGAAAAGAAAAAGAAAGAAAGAAAGAAAGAAAGAAAGAAAAGAAAGAAAGAGAACTTTAAAAGAAGCATAGACAGATAGAAAAAAGAGAGAGAATTTTAGAAAGAAAGAAAGAAAGAAAGAAAGAAAGAAAGAAAGAAAGAAAGAAAGAAAGAAAGAAAGAAAGCGGAGAACTTTTAAAAAGAAGGATAGACAGATAGAAAAGAGAGAGAATTTTAGAAAGAAAGAAAGAAAGAAAGAAAGCGGAGAACTTTTAAAAAGAAGCATAGACAGATAGAAAAAAGAGAGAGAATTTTAGAAAGAAAGAAAGAAAGAAAGAAAGAAAGAAAGAAAGAAAGAAAGAAAGAAAGAAAGAAAGAAAGAAAGAACGAAAGAAGGGAAAAAAGAAAGAAAGAAAAACACAAGCAAACAATGCAAAAAAGAGAAACTTAAAAAAAAAGAAAAGAGAAACAGAAAGAAAAGAGAATTTTTGCAAAGAAAAAGAGACAGACAGAAAAGAGAGGGAGCTTTAAAAAAGAAAGAAAGAAAGAAAGACAGAAAGAAAGACAGAAAGAAAGAAAGAAAGAAAGAAAGAAAGAGTGAAGAGAGAATCAGAAAAAAGAGGGAGTTTCAAAAAGAACGAAAAACTATTAAAAAATTAAGAGATAAATTGAAAAAGAAAGAAAGAAAGAAAGAAAGCAAGCAATACTATCGACCCAAAACAAATAAAAAAAGAAAACCTGAAAATTAAAATAAAATAAAATAATTTTTTTTCTTTTAAAACTTTAAGACTGGATTGAAATTAATTTCTTTTCTTTTTTTCACTTGTTAAGATCAATTTCAAAATCATATTTGATTTGAAATTTAAAAACTGAATCGAAGATAATTTAGCTTTTAAATCGTCGGAGATGCGGGCAAACATTTGAGTTAAAATGACACAGAACACTCGCTTCTTGTTAATTAGATTTTAATATTCGACTAATGGATTCCTTTATTCAGGGTCCCGGTAGGACAAAAAAATTTAAACAAAGGACTCCAAATATTACACACACACACACACACACACACACACACACACACACACACACACACACACACACACACACACACACACACACACACAAGCGCGCGCACGCTCGCGTATATGTGTGTTACACGCCAACCTATACACAGACACACACAGACACACGCTCGTGCGCAAACTCATTTGCATGCGCGCGCACCTACCAGTATCGGAAGCATCCCCGACTCAACCAAAGCTAAATGGCGCATCATTTCCTTTCTCTTATATGCTTTGTCATTGAGGCCAGCTTCCACTTAATGGTGCTGATACGCCGAACATTTCGGCTAATCGACTCTCCGACCATCTACCGTACTTGGTAACCTTCTTTGAAAATTGGAAAGAAGAATCTGCAATGTTAACAAACCTGACCTGGCTTCTCCGCTTCTGTCATATTCCCACCGGCGTAACGTAGCTTCCTTGTAGCTTTTCTATAACAACTTTCATGCCAATTCTTCACGTGAACTTTCTCCGATGAATTTAACCGCAGTACTAGACTGGCAGAAAAGTCTCATCATTTTTCAAGCTCAATGGCTAGATGTAACCGTAAGTTCTATACGAACAGTTCCTTCTCTATCACGGTATTACATCCCCTTCCTTATAGATTGGCGTCAAGCTCATCATTTTACAGTTGAAATGGCTAGATGTAACCGTATGCGTTCTATGCTAACAGTTTCTTCTCTCAAATGGCTAGATTACATCCCCGGACTTATTACATCCCCGGGATTGGCGGCAAGGTCTCATCAATATGTTGAAATGGCTAGAGAACCAATAAGTTCTATGCTAACAGTTTCTTCTCTCTCACGGTATTACATCCCCGGCCTTATAAATTGGCAAGGTCTCATCATTTTTACAGTTGAAATGGCTAGATGTAACCGTAAGTTCTATGCTAACAGTTTTTCTCTCTCCACGGTATTACATCCCCTGGCCTTATAGATTGGCGGCTAGGTCTCATCATTTTTTAGTTGGAATGGTTAGATGTAACCATGTTCTATGCTAACAGTTTCTTCTCTCTCATTGGTATTACATCCCCGGCCTTATAGATTGGCGGCAAGGTCTCATCATTTACAGTTGAAAATGGCTAGATGTAACCGTATGTTCTATGCTAACAGTTTCTTCTCTCTCACGGTATTACATCCCCGGCCTTATAGATTGGCGGCAAGGTCTCATCATTTTACAGTTGAAATGGCTAGATGTAACCGTATGTTCTATGCTAACAGTTTCTTCTCTCTCACGGTATTACATCCCCGGACTTATAGATTGGCGGCAAGGTCTCATCATTTTACAGTTGAAATGGCTAGATGTAACCGTAAGTTCTATGCTAACAGTTTCTTCTCTCTCGCGGTATTACATCCCCGGCCTTATAGATTGGCGGCAAGGTCTCATCATTTTACAGTTGAAATGCCTAGATGTAACCGTAAGTTCTATGCTAACAGTTTCTTCTCTCTCACGGTATTACATCCCCGGCCTTATAAATTGGCGGCAAGGTCTCATCATTTTACAGTTGAAATGGCTAGATGTAACCGTATGTTCTATGCTAACAGTTTCTTCTCTCTCACGGTATTACATCCCCGGACTTATAGATTGGCGGCAAGGTCTCATCATTTTACAGTTGAATTGGCTAGATGTAACCGTAAGTTCAATGCTACAGTTTCTTCTCTCTCTCACGGTATTACATCCCCTGACTTATAGATTGGCGGCAAGGTCTCATCATTTTACAGTTGAAATGGCTGATGTAACCGTAAGTTCTATGCTAACAGTTTCTTCTCTCTCACGGTATTACATCCCCGGCCTTATAGATTGGCGGCAAGCTCTCATCATTTTACAGTTGAAATGCCTAGATGTAACCGTAAGTTCTATGCTAACAGTTCCTTCTCTATCATGGTATTACATCCCCGGCCTTATAGATTGGCGTCAAGGTCTCATCATTTTACAGTTGAAATGCCTAGATGTAACCGTAAGTTCTATGCTAACAGTTCCTTCTCTATCACGGTATTACATCCCCGGCCTTATAGATTGGCGTCAAGCTCTCATCATTTTACATTTGAAATGGCTAGATGTAACCGTAAGTTCTATGCTAACAGTTTCTTCTCTCTCACGGTATTACATCCCCGGCCTTATAGATTGGCGTCAAGGTCTCATCATTTTACAGTTGAAATGCCTAGATGTAACCGTAAGTTCTATGCTAAGAGTTCCTTCTCTATCATGGTATTACATCCCCGGCTTTATAGATTGGCGTCAAGGTCTCATCATTTTACAGTTGAAATGCCTAGATGTAACCGTAAGTTCTATGCTAACAGTTCCTTCTCTATCACGGTATTACATCCCCGGCCTTATAGATTGGCGGCAAGGTCTCATCATTTTACAGTTGAAATGGCTAGATGTAACCGTAAGTTCTATGCTAACACTTTCTTCTCTATGACGGTATTACATCCCCGGCCTTATAGATTGGCGGCAAGGTCTCATCATTTTACAGTTGAAATGGCTAGATGTAACCGTAAGTTCTATGCTAACAGTTTCTTCTCTCTCACGGTATTACATCCCCGGACTTATAGATTGGCGGCAAGGTCTCATCAATATTACAGTTGAAATGGCTAGATGTAACCGTAAGTTCTATGCTAACAGTTTCTTCTCTCTCACGGTATTACATCCCCGGCCTTATAAATTGGCGGCAAGGTCTCATCATTTTACAGTTGAAATGGCTAGATGTAACCGTAAGTTCTATACGAACAGTTTCTTCTCTCTCACGGTATTACATCCCCAGCCTTATAGATTGGCGTCAAGCTCTCATTTTTTATTGAAATGCCTAGATGTAACCGTAAGTTCTATGCTAACAGTTCCTTCTCTATCACGGAATTACATCCACGGCCTTATAGATTGGCGACAAGGTCTCATCATTTTTACAGTTGAATGGCTAGATGTAACCGTAAGTTCTATACGAACAGTTTCTTCTCCTCACGGTATTACATCCATGGCCTTATAGATTAGCGGCAAGGTCTCATCATTTTTACAGTTGAAATGCCTAGATGTAAACGTAAGTTCTATGCTAACAGTTCCTTCTCTATCATGGTATTACATCCCCGGCCTTATAGATTGGCGTCAAGGTCTCATCATTTTACAGTTGAAATGCCTAGATGTAACCGTAAGTTCTATGCTAACAGTTCCTTCTCTATCACGGTATTACATCCCTGGCCTTTATAGATTGGCGTCAAGCTCTCATCATTTTTACAGTTGAAATGGCTAGATGTAACCGTAAGTTCTATGCTAACAGTTTCTTCTCTCGGTATTACATCCCCTCGGCCTTATAGATTGGCGTCAAGGTCTCATCATTTTACAGTTGAAATGCCTAGATGTAACCGTAAGTTCTATGCTAAGAGTTCCTTCTCTATCATGGTATTACATCCCCGGCCTTATAGATTGGCGTCAAGGTCTCATCATTTTACAGTTGAAATGCCTAGATGTAACCGTAAGTTCTATGCTAACAGTTCCTTCTCTATCACGGTATTACATCCCCGGCCTTATAGATTGGCGGCAAGGTCTCATCATTTTACAGTTGAAATGGCTAGATGTAACCGTAAGTTCTATGCTAACACTTTCTTCTCTATGACGGTATTACATCCCCGGCCTTATAGATTGGCGGCAAGGTCTCATCATTTTACAGT